TTTGTTATGGCTTATTACTTTTGTGTATGCTGCTTACACATTTTTGGAATTTTGTTAAATATTTAAAATACTTGACTGTCTTTTATGCTTATATGTTTAAGTTATTAAAATAGTTATTCATCTGAAAATTTCAAACTAGTATACAAATTGGGAAGTGTAATATTGTCATTGAAAGTGCATTGAACTTAGTCACTTCATATTAGGTCGTATAAAAAATGTTTATTGTTTGAATAATCATATTGATGGAGATGAATATGGTCAAACGTGCATTTGGACGACAATGTTGAAAGAGGTCACATCAATTGGATTGTATGAATTAATGTTTATTTAGGGTTAAGATATGTACACATGTATTTTAATTGTCTTATAGCCATGCACTTAACATAAGTTTCTGTTCATTTTGTTTCCAGGAACTAGATATTTCATTTAGAATTGACAATAAAACTGTTTACAAAGGAAGTATATCAGGTAATAGTACTATTTGTTACTGAGGGGGGTGGGGGGGGGGGGCTGAGTGGTTAAGCATTTGGCTTCCAAACCTGAGTTCTGTGTTTAATCTTGTTGAAGACTGGGATTTTGAATTCCGGGATTTTTAGGGTGCCCCTGAGTCCATCCAACTCTAATGGGTACCTGACTTTAGTTGGGAAAGTAAAGATGTTTGGTCATGGGCTGACCACATAACACCCTGCTCATTAACAGTTGGCCAAAGAAACAGATGACCTTATCTGCATCTGCCCTGTAGATTGCAAGGTCTGAAAGGGGAACTTTTACTTTTTTTATATTTCACTTAGTAGTTTGTCAGGTACTATAAAGTTGTTTCTAAAAATCACTTGAAATCAGTTTTGAGATGACTTTGCTTTTTTTTTATTTAGTTCAAATCCAGAACTTTGTAGCTGATGATGTAAATAACAAATTAGGAAAAATGGATTTAGATTCTAATACCACAAAATATGGACCTTTAAATAGTCTATTTAGTTCAACACAGTTATCTTTTTTTTTAAATTGATTGTCAAATTATTGTCAACTACAGATTAAATTGATGCTTACTATTTTTGTTACAGCTGATGCTCCACCACTGTTATGCATTGGCTCAGTCCCATCAGTTGCTGATATCTGCATTCATTTTTTCAACATGCTGTACCGTGTGGACAGACTAATGTTACACAAAAGTCAGATTTTAGGTTGTATGGGCGTCAGCCTCAATATATACAACAAGACTGTCAGCATATTTCCTATGGACTGTTTTCAAATACCTGGAGATCCCAATCATCATCATGCTAAAGAAAATATTATTTTGCCAAACTTTGTACCTTGAAAAAGTTACAGTGTATTTGTTCAGCTTGTTCAACAAAAAGTATTAACATTCATATTGATCTGGAAGTATACTCTAATAGTTCATCTCTTGTTGTGAACATAATAATAAGACATTGTCTTCGATTGATTTATGTCAATGACTTTATAAATATGTCTTTCATCCTTTTTGTTCATTTTTTTAATGCAAAAATAAAACATTAAGATTAGATCGGACAGTGGGTTTTTTATATCTTAAAGTGTTTTTTCTTTCTTTGTGATCATTGAATATCTGACCCTATTAACATTACTGAGATATAGCTACAGTATTATGGAATTATATCTCTACAAAGACTTTAAAATATTCGCTCAAGGTAAAGCAATCTCAGTCAGCCTAGAACTAAAATGCTGTTGTTGTTTTTTTGTTTACCTTGTAGATTAAGATTCCAAATTTAAGGTTATGATTATCAGCATAGGAATTTTATGTCATGATGTTTTTATATTTTACTTTTAAATAAAATTTATATTGTTTTTGCTGTTTTTTTTTTTAAATGGTTCTGGGTTGGTTCACAGTTTTCTTTATTACAAACCAACTATTTTCTATGTTGATCATTCAGTAATTAGTGCACAGTAAATGGCTTTAGTGTATTAATAATTTGTATTGTCCTACTTGTTTTTAGAGATATTTATCGTTTTCAATTTCCCTACAGTAGTCATAGGAAAAAAAGACTGGCTGATAGTGTTGAAAGTTAAAGATGATAGTGTTGAAATGTAAAGTTGATAGTGTTGAAATGTAAAGTTAATAGTGAGGGAATGAGAACCTTGGCATCTTTTTTTATTTATTGAAGATATTGCTAAATATCTACTTTTCAAATAAGGCCTGTAAAAGGAATTTGGGGGGAAAAATTAATTGCGATGTATTGTTTGTATTTTAGCATTTAGAAATATTTTATAAGAAATGAACCCTTGGGATTCAACTTCAACTTATCCATTTACCTCCACATTCTCCTGCCTATTCCCCTTTCATTTTTTTTTTTTTTTTGTTATTTTGTAAATGTCCACGTATAGGAAACATGAAGAAATAAAATATTTGATTGGAACAATACAACATTTGCAATTTTTGATTGCATCATTCTAATTTACTTCATGAATTGACATTTAAATATAATAATCTTTATAATCCATAAGGAAATTTGTCTTACAATTTGTGCATTACACCAAACAAAACATTATAACTATAGAAAACAAAATATACATTCACACCAGATTACTCAAAAGTTACATGTGAAATGTTTATATCAGATAGTGGTATTGTATTTAATGATTTGATTGCCAGGGGAACAAAAGAGTTTTTGTCTCTGTAGGTGATTTATATCTCCTTTGTGATATAAAATCCTGTTCCAGAATTATTATTTTTTTATTTCTAAAATCTATTAAGCTTTCTTATGAATATTTTTATCAAACAGTTTACGGTCTTAAAATTGGCATAAAAATATTAATGTTTTAATTAATTTTACTATTATGTAATTGAAAAAAAATATTTTGTTTATTTTTTTTTTTTACATTTTCTCTCTCTCTATTTGAAGATATTGATAGAATTCTCATATTTCATATCAAGTTATTTTTAGTTGCAGGCAGTTATTGGATGCTTTGAATCCCCAAGAATCAAGGGATAATAATAGCCCAGAAGTGATAAACCAAACAAACAAAAAAGTGTCATTTAATTAGCATATCTCAATCAAATTGTGTTAAGATAAATTCAGTGTGTCCAACTCTGTGGCAAGTTTAACCAATTCACAAATGTCAAATTTGTTCTTCTTAACTAAAAATACTGTTTATTCCATGTCTTTCTTGATTGTATTCTATTCAGTCTCAATAATGAATCTAACTTAAACTGTCATCATTTCCTGTCTAAACTAACCTTTTTAACTCTATAGATTATATAATAAACATAAACATTTCCTATCCTACAAGCTATGTACCCTGACAACTGAAAGAAAATGTATGTATCTAGGTTCAATGAACATGATAGCCTGTGTGAGATACTTTCTTTTCATTTACATCACATTAAATAATGATATTAATTTTCTTAATAGGAAAAAGCAAGACCAAATGTAAGGGGGAATATATTGTCATGCTGTATGTCAAGTTGTCTTTGTAAATATTCTGTATACAATTATCCTTAATTTACTTTTACATGTAGACTGTGTTATAAATGTTTGAGTGATGTCTACATGCCTGTCCCTCCCTTCTCCTCTTCCTGCTTGTTCCAACAGCATAAGAGGAGGATCCTTAAATGTACAGGAATATAAAGTGTATGCTTGTGGTTAGGTCATTAGTTTCATGTAATATTTGTGTTGTTTCTGCCAATGATTTAAAGGACTTTGCTGAAGAACATCAGCAAATGTAGTTGAATGTATTCTTCAAGTCTTCTTACTTAACAAGTGGCTTGTTTGTCCTTATCAAATGAATTAATAAATGTATTTACAATACACTAAACAAATGGAGATAAAAGTGTTTAGGTATGAACAAATATTGCTATTTTGTAGGCCATGAATTACTTTGAGCCAGTAATGATTAAATTACTCAAAAGTTTAGCTTTTTCTTGATATGAAACATTATTCTGATTCTGGCTTCAACCTATAAATTCTGCTATCAGGAAAGCTGACCACCTTTCTTTGTCTCTTTCTCCACTGATTTTCTTGCTTTCTTTAAGCGCCCTCTCATCCTGTAGTGTCCACCTGAGAGTCCTTGTCAGCGTTTCTCAGTAGATGGCTCCAAACATTTCTGTCTTCAGTACTGGGTACATTATTACTTTTGTGGTAGACTTTATATACTTCTCGTCAGCTCAGATCAGATTGAATTAAAACAGATTCTTTTTGTCAGCTAAGTTCAGATTGCATTAAGTCTGAAGATTCTTAGTATTCATCAGAAGTTTGAAAAGTTTCAAGCTTTATGTCAAATAGTTGAGTTTGAAGTTCCAGCATTCAGACATACACTCCTCTTCAATGGTATTCAGTTTTTACATAAATCTCCATGTACAGCCTTTTTTTTTTTTGACACAGTATTAAATCTTTTTCTGCAGCAATTCTTTGTTGAATAATTATTCTATAAAGTTTTCCTCTGCATAGTTTCTACTTTTTTTTTTTACCTTTTAATTTTCTTCATTTGACAGAAATACAGTTTGCTAGCTCTGGTATTGAATTCTTCAATTGACACAAACACGCCTAGCTTGAAACAGGGATTACATTTATTCATCGCTATACAATCTCAGTGGGAGCATATGCCACTATACTAGAGCTAGATGTTTTAGCGCATTTTAAAGTACACCAAAATGGGTTGCACTGGAGTAGTTGTGACATTTTTCACTGAGAGCAACTTTTGAGTGACGTACATAATGTCCTTCTGATTTCCTTTACAAACGTCTGCTAGGCCAACTAGCTTGCAGCACTATTGAACAAACTGAATAGCTTTATTTCTTTTATTGCCTGGGTCGAGTTTCCTGTCTGGTATTTTATTATTTTTTTCTGTTAGGTACATCCTTACTTCTATGTTCTCCCATCTTGCAAGGAGTGGCGTAGCTAGGGTGGGGGAGGAGAATTTGAACATCCCCCCGGGCCCCTACTTAAGGGGGGGGCCCAAATGAGCTTTTGACATTACAAATTAATATTACGCAAAATGCAGGAGCTCCCAAAGAGGTTAAGCCCCCCCCCCCCCCCCCCCGTCCCCAAACGATGGAAAATTCCTAGCTACGTCCCTGCTTGCATGGATTTCAAATTGTACATGTATGTAAAGACATGATTAAAATTGATTCTATTTGGTGAGACTTTTAACAAATAGTTTGGGAAAGAACTAAGTTTTTTATCTTTGTTCTGGTTTTTTTTTTGTTTTTTTTTCACTTTAGTTTTATGCTACACTTCTCTATCTTGTTGGTTTTGTTGGTTTAATCTTTTTAAAACCATCACAATGTTAGTAATACAAGTTATATGGTGTATTGAAAATGATCAATTGTATACAGTCAGGACTAATGCTTGGTTTCAGTGGTATTTGTTAGTTGTTTTTCAAAACTTGAACCTAACAATGTCCCATTTATGTATTTACAAGGTAGAAACACTTTTATGTATATATTATCAGGTTTAAGAAAATGATACTGCAGTTAAATTTTAAAGACATTCTTCTTCACCATTATAGTTAACTTGGTTGGTAAGGGGAGATAACAAACATGTTGGTTCACGTGAACAAAAATTATGAAATGTATTTTGTATAATAAAAATTTATTGTTATGAAATAGTGGAGTAGCGTTTCTTTTTTGTTTAGTTTTGTATAAGTATTATTGATACATAAATGGCGTGTCTTCATTCTGACTAGCTGGCCTTGTGGTACGTGCACTTCAGACTCTAACCACGCTAGTTCGAACCCTTGTTTTGTCCCGAAAGAGGTTTCTGAAACTTTACTCTAAAGCTTATATCAATTCACTCCGTCTGTCTGTCTGTCAGGTACATATTTTATGCATGTTATTTCTGCCTCTTCCATTCTCGTATTAAGTTGAAGCTTTGCAAAATTATTCATTTCCCCTGACAAAACATGAATCAATTTTTTTTAAATTAATAAAATAATTTTTGGTACCGGTAATTAATTACCGGAAATAAATATTGAGATTAGTATAAATGGTTGTAAATGTGCAGTTCCTCCTTTTACATTTTTTTTGTTTATTATATTTCCCTTGTTTCTAAAAGCGCAAACCAGCAAGTTTAGTGGGATGTGAATACATTTATTCGCTCTGGGATTTCAACTTTTCTCCATCGAGTTTAAACTTTGTAAAATAGGCTAATCTATTTAGCGGTTGGACCTTTTTTTTTTTTTATAAGCAGTTAGAAAGATACCTAAACCCACGTGTCCATGTTTTAAGGGAGGGGAAGACTGAGTATAAGGGTAATTCGATCGCTTGTGTCTTGGATGCCCACTTGCAACATAGTGACTGCATGCACTTTATCTGTTTGGTGCATATTTCTGTAGTGAAAGAATAATGTGTTTATGTGAGTAAGTTATCGGTGTGATTGCTTGTCTCTTTTATGTTCATTAAAATAATGTTTTAAAACCAATTCCATTTCAAACTATTAGTGTCATGCTCTGTGGAACTGTTAGATGCTCTAATTAAAAATAGATTGACAATATCCTTTCTTCTTTTGAGCAAAAGCATTTGGAGAACTGAATTATTTGTTGTTGTTTTTTTTTCTAGTTACGGTACTCTAAGATGGACCGAAAAACAAAAAAAAAAACTTCTTGAATATGTTCACATTCTCTTCTTTCTTTTCGTGTATCGTGGGGGGGGGGGGGGGGGGGGGGTACACTGGTATTGTGTTCGTGGGGGGGGGGGGGGGTATGGAGTTTTGTCTCTGACATCTAGAGACCTGCTTGCAAGTGTATTTGGTTCAATCCAACTATCAAGCTTACAAACAATTTACGGATCAAAATGTTTTTGTCTTCGGTGTGGATTGACTTTACTTCTGCACCTCAGTCTGCCATTATGTTTGTATGAGTGCCCCGTCAGACATCACTGTCTCAGGAAGAAGCTTCAAGCTGTTATTTGCAATACTCGCCTGCTGAATGTAGCTTTCTCGAATTTTAAAGTTTTGGTGATAAACATTCGTGATAGGGACATGAATAGGCCCGCAGAGAAACAGAAAGCTTTCAGAGAACTACCAAATGGTTTTCAAGAATATTGCACTTGGAGATGGAAAAAAAAAAAACTCAACAAGGCCGTTCCTTTTTGTTGGTCTTTCCTTGGAGTAGGTATAGGCCTATGTAGGGTTCACCGTTCAGATCAGTGCTTCCACCTCTAGAGAGGTGATGGAGTCAAGATACCGTAAATTCCAGCTCATGGAACCCATCTTATTGAGGGAAAAAAATATAGAAAAAAAGGTCCTCAAGATGCTTTTCATCGGCTTTTAACAGATAGAAGGCCTATTTAACAAAATAATTATCAAGCTAATTTATTATTGATCTATCAATTTATTGGCTTTCATATGCCTCCTTTGCTCAAAGTTGGCCTATATCTTGAATTAAAAAGCATTTTAAAGACTGGTTTTTATTTTATCTAAGATCATCTTTATTGACTTCTTAAGATCAACTAATTAGAAAAGATTCCATTTTTTTAGTTCCAGAGTTGACAGGCCGCTTCACATACGCAAAAAGCCAGATTCTTATGAGAGAGAAAGAGAGATACGTATCATACATACAAACATTTAACTGGCACACACACTTGACTTCTGCGTCTGTAACACAGACAGTATTTAGCTGAAGCGCATTTTTTTTTGGTCCCAGTCAAGAACTCAGTACGTTAACTTGCTCGTGAACCTGGAGGCATGGACCAATCAAAAGTAAGGGAAGATAAGTTCTTCTGCTCACCCGGCGCTCCACCAAAAATTTGTCTGTCCTATATTCCAGTTTCCCTCCTTCTGTAACTTACTTTTGCCTTTGTACAGCTCTCTGCTCACATCAAGCGCCTTTGGCTTGCGTGAGAATTTTGTGTACAGGCAATTGGTTTCAAATAGTTCTTTTTTTTTCTTCTAATTAATACTTGATCAAGAGAAACAAAATGGTGAGTATATTTTTTTTTGATCACTCACCATGTACTTAAATCACATTATCTGTAGGCTATATTTCTAATACTTCCAGAGTCGTTCGCAACAAAGAAAAAAAAGTTCCTGATTTAGATCTATATTTAGATAGCAATGCGATAGATACGCCTATACTTATAGAAGTAGGTACAAATAAGTTTAAACGAAGGCCTACAAATGAGGTGAGAATGACTTGTGTAATTAAAGGTCGAAACCAACATATAATTCCCCCTCTACCCACCAACATTAAAAAAACAACACAATAAAGCTAAAACACTTTCGGAATAAATCTCTCAACATTTTTCTCTACTTTAGCGAGATGGTTTGGAGGACTTCTTCTTCACTCGATTTAGTTTTAAAAAAAAAAGACGCAGACGAATATCATTGCTGGTTAATTCAAGAATTTTGTTCTTTATTACAAAAGAATCGGTGTCCATGACCTTAGGGGCTAAAACATTTGAAGTATTTGAATAAATTGTTCTACATGTAACATGTCAGTGTGCAGCGTTAGCAAAAATCGACAAATGGATCAGACACTCTCGTTAGCGAGACTCAACATGTGATACACAGTGCGCCAACTGCGCGATACTGTGTGCCGGTATGTCCAGGTTAACCTTTGCTTCTTTCACAAATATTTATGTTAACAATATAGATCGATATGGATTTTTTAGAAAGTGTAACAAAATACCAATCGCTAATGTTGAATAAAGCCAGGAGATTGTCAGTATTGACTGGGTAATTTTGCATTGAATGTGTGTGTGAAAGAGAAGATAATAAAAGAAATGATCACAAATATGGTGGCATCTCCGACTTACTAGAGCTACGTCTTAGTTTACATTTCTTTGTGGACGTAACTGGCTACAACCGTTTGCTACACACATGCCACGTGAGTCATAGCTGCTCCAAACATAATTTAGTGAACGCAGTTATCTCACTTTGTATCTTTTAGTTGCGTTATTCCACTTGTGGCGCTATAGACCATAATGATAAGAAACACATTCTATCCGTTGTTATATGAATTAAATTCTATCCTTAGTTATAGAAGTTATATTCTATTCATAGATAAATCTAGATCAATTAAAGTCTTTCATCTTTTCAATCTTTTAGCGTAGCCCATTTCTTCGTTTTTTAACAAACTAGATTTGTGTAGAAGAAAAAATAGTCATTTCATGTGTCGATCTAGTCATGCATGTTATCAATAACTTAAACTCTGCTAGTTGGTTTTCCTGGCTGATTCAGGCAACCCATTCCATTCTCTGATGGCTTTACGAAAAAAAAAATTAGCTTCCTATAAAAAAAAAATAAGATCACTGAAAAAAAACAACAAAAAAAACAAAACAGCCTTCTTGCGTATAAAAAAAAGCTGTATCTAACAGGTTTTATTTCATAAGTCTACCTCAGTGGCCTACTGCGTACGATAGAAAGTGTAATGAGTTGTAAATATTAAAGACAGAGTTGGTGTCAGCCAGGATTACAATACAAATCTCATTATAAACTTTGTTGACTGGTTCTCTAGTAAGCCAAAACTAAAATTTGTTATTGATACAATGTACCGATGGTTTTCAAGCGTGGCACGTTGCATAGCCTGAGTGAGATAGCCACGTAGATTTTTAAAATTGCCCATATGATGTACAATGCTGTGAAATGATTGAACAGAACATCTTGTAGATTGCTACGGCCATAGGAATATGATTTATAGATGACAATCAACATCAAATCACAACCCATGTTTTTTTGGCTTTCTTTATGGATCTCCCTTTTTCTCGTTCTAGCTTTCAAGATTATTGTCCTTGACATTTGGTGCCGTGTGTATCAAATCACTTCAACCTCTTCCTTTCTCTCTCTCTCCCCCCCCCCCTCTCTCTCAAAATAGTCTATTTGGATGATTTCTTCTTATTCATCTTAATTTTCCCCTCAAAACTAAAACTGGCTTGCTGTTTATTAAGATAGCTCAACAATTTTTAACCCCTGTAGACCTATATGGTTTACATTTTGCTATCTTCTTTATTAATCTTTATATAATCTCTTAAAATCATTTCCTTCTCCATTTATATTATTATTTATTATATTTGTTTCTGTTACCATTGTTTTGAGTTCACCCCACAATCACTGAATAACGCGAGAAATTGGAACTTAAGATTTTATCAATAAAATAGATATAAGTGTAGACACTACAAACGGAAAAACAATGTTAACAATGATTTCATTATAGCCATATTAAATCAAGAATGTGTAATTAAAGTTAACTGAGCAAATAATCAATTTCCCTCTTTTTTTCTTCTGGTGATCAAAGATGACTATTTTGTTCAGCTAAGGTATATAGGCCTATATGCAAGATAGCCTAACTTGTTTCTAGATTTATATTTATTTCTTTAAAGACAGCCATCTTTAGCATTTTAGTATTCTGGGCGGCGGCCGGAAAGGATAATTATAATTATATTAAAAAAAGCGTGTCTCCGAGTCAGAAGATTAATGAGGAATGCAGTATTTCACGTGGCAACGCAGCTCTAGCTGCAACCCATATATTTTGCCACAGGCATCACCATTGTCCGCCGGTGGTCGATTTAGATCTTTTCGCCGTCTACGTCTGTCCTCAGCAGCGGATTTTCTTTTTGTCTCAAATGTGTATCCAGCGATCCTTTAAGTGACCTCCAGCTGTATCGTTCTGA